CAAAGGCATTAAGGTGACAGAACAGCTGTAGATGCCCACAGCCTAGGGGATCTGAGGCTGCTTATCCCAAATGGACTGAGGCACTTAAACTCTAGAGAGAGGCAGGAGACCTTGTTGGCAGATGCTTTTATCATGCCCTCCAGCTGTTACAGGCAATATGAAAAATGCTGTTCCATTTTGGTACCAACAAAAAAATATATCCCTGTCCCATTGACTTGACCCTGTAGGAGACTGGGGTAATCACAGGGGGACAACTGTCTGATTCTGGCTCAGAAAGTGTTAGAAATGACAACTGGCAGCTGATAGGCAGTAATTAGCAGCCTGTAAACTGTCTGTCAGCTGTAGGGCACAAAAACCTTGACCCATGGTTGTCACATTCAAATGACAAAAATGATGTGTACATTTTCAGGATCTGAACAACGGGCATTCTTCCCATCAACCTACTTGCATGGAAGATCCAAGTTACCCTGCACAAAAATGTGCACTAGGAGAGTGCTAGAGGTTTTAAACTTGACAGACAAGCTTACTACTGCCTTAATAGTCCTTGCTTCCTTTGCTGGGTCTAATCAAAATTTCTTTGGAAGTTATTGTGATTTCACTAAGAACATTATGAAATAAAGTAGGAATGAAGAGTGAGCACAGATTCCTAGGTGAAAAAAGATCCTCTCTTCTTACAAAAGTTTCTGGTAAGAATGATGGGAAGAGATTATTAAATAGATCAAGAGAATAAAATCTAGCACTTGCCTGAGGCATGGCATCAGAATGACATTGAATTAAGGGGAAATGTTTTAATTTTTTGGTGCACAGACACAAAAGTGAGAATACATTTTCTCCAGGTCTGTTTTGAATGCAGCAGCTCCAGCCTGTTGTAAAAGTCTCCCAGTTCTGCTAAAATATACAGCAGCGTGGGCTGCTCACAGAATTTGTCTTCATTCTGATGCTAGGCAGTCACTTCTTTGATATATATCACAGAGGCCTGATTAAAAAGAAAACAATAACAGAGAGAGAGTGAAAGAATGTCAGCTGTACTTGAAATGTGGCATGTGCTGAGCTTAACAAGAAGCAGTATGCAGTGTCAAAATATTCAAATACTCTGCAGGCTGAGTAATGCTGGCAGCTGTGGTAATAAATGTCCTTATTCTGGTCTGATTTGGAAACAGCAATGTTATATAGCATACTGGATGCTGTATCAACACAAAAACATTCATGATTAAACTGTGCATCATATATAAGAAAGAGATGAGAAAAGTCCTAAAATTACAGCTTCCTTTTAGGTAATTCCATAAATTATAAACTTTACATCATCCATATAACACATTAGTGGAGAGCATCAGAACAAAAATTTGTGAAGGCTCTTTAAATGACCTCAGAAAGGAAAAATTAATCCTGTCCACAGCATGGATCTTCTCTGGTTTGTAAATATTCACACAGTTAAATATTTAATAACCAATAAATTAAAATATGCCAGGATGGAATCCAGTGTATGCAAATTTACAAGAGGATGAAGTACTCATAGTTCACCTGTATTTTTCAGGTACCTTAGTATTGTAGTCCAAAGAGACATAGTACATTTTTGAGAACACAGTGACTGTGAAAGAAACAAAATATCACAAGGGAAAATTTTCAGCTGTTAAGAATACAGCATATCCTAATAGCCAGAAGGATTTCTATAAAAAGCACTAACTAGTAACAAAAATAAAATAATAGCAACACTAAAGACAAAAAGGAACATCCTATGAGCATATGACTTAAAAGCTACCAAGAGCTAAAGGCAAAATCTTTTATTTGTGTTCCTCCTTTATATATAAGTAGTGGTAATAATAGAGAACTAAAATGAAATGTTGAGGCTATCTGAAGTTCTCCACCCTCAATGGCTTGGCTCTTTCTTTTCTTTCACTGCTTTTATTTTTTAAAGTATTTTCCAAGCATATAATAAGATATGTGCTTATCAGAAGAACCTTCCAGTACAGACAAGTCCCTGCTGTGAACAAGCATATATAGAAAAAGACAAGCAATAAATAAAATAGGAAACAGTGTAGGTTCTCAGAAAGTACATAAACCGATAAATAGACTCTTTTGGCAAATGTTTTTACTCGTTTTAGTCCAGAGAATTTTTTGCTCACTATCACTAATAAACCCATAGATTGTTCTAGCTTGTCTATGAAAAGCACCTGTAAGGAATATCACCAGAATAACTGATGGAAATTTGAATCTGATAATCAATTTTACTTACCGTAGTGGCATTTGTGAAAAAGCGCCCCCATTGACCAAAATTACATTACCCAGACACAAAGGCAAAACAACACTAAAAAGAAAAAACATTTTGCTATAGTAAACTACATCTTTCAGCACCAATAACAGAACATGAAGAAGCCCAGAAACTGTGTTTACGCTGTTGAGGTGACACTACCATCCTCCAGCTGTGAATCAAAGAGAAATTATCACATCATCAAGCTACTTGAAATCTTTCATCACCCTTGAGCCATTGAGTATATCAAATAGCACGATAAAATCAGAGAGCTTTTGAAAGAGATTGCATAAGCAGCAATAAAGCAATGCTGGCAAAAGCACAGTGCAAAGGACAGGACAATAGATTCAGTCAGAAAATGGTAAATAATCCTTAATTTAACATAAAAAAGACCAGAATTTGAGGCAGAAAATACAGTTTGTAAAAGAATCATGCACATGAAGACTGATAGCAGAGTGTGAAAAACAACAGCGACATACCATCAACTTCTAAATCAAGGTGGCCTTTGGAAAGCCAGGACTGCACTGCATTGCCATCTACAAGAGCTCTTTTTGAAGATGCTGAGAAAAGAACAGCAGACAAAAAATGGTAGTTCCTCAGATGTGCCCTTCTTTGTTCCCTGCACCTGAGGTTTAGGGGGAGATTGCTAAATTTCATAAATACCTTACAGTCATTAGAGGATCAGTAACCAAACAGAGAGGAAGAAAGGCAATGAAGACATTTCAGTAACAGAACAAAACTGTCACTGGAAAAATGTACACTTTCTTCCAAGCAAACTGTGACTGTTTGGGTCCATCTACAGCAAGACCACAAATGCTGATGGTTTTGCTGTTGTTTGCAATTAAGCGGTAGGGACTGGCTGTTTGCATGAATGAAGTCTCTACTGTATTAAAAAATAAGATGTAAATTTCTCATAAAAGCTTGCAGTGTAAGAACAGAGCTAAGCAGATGCTGAGGAAATGAGATCCTGCATTTGAACCAGAATATTTAGTTTTTACCCAGGACTAAGATGAAACATTATAACATGAGGGTATTTTTGTAGATCACAGTCAACTGGAATCAAAGAGTCAGTCAGCACTGTTTGCCCAAACTCAGACTCTTCTTACAGATTTTTCAGAAACATGCAATTCTGTCTTCAGATACTCTGCTTTAGCATCAAAACTAACAACTGGGGATGAAAACCATTTACAAGTCCATCTTGCTAAACTTCTGGGGATCGGTGCAAGACTGAAGTATGGTCTAATTTCTTTTGTGGTCTCAACAGTCTGATTTCAACCGATTTGTGTTGAAAAGCCTTTCAACTTTTCTCTCAGGATCTATTTTAGAGTCTCATGGATCTCTGCATTAAGAGCAGTATGTGTAATTATTCTATCACCTGTAACAATAGAGATGAACAGTTTTATATTAAACCATAAAAGGCCTTCCCACACAGTAGTTTATAGGTCAGTGTCTGCATTAATACAGCTTCTAATTGTGCTACAACTGACACTGTAATACAATTAAAGTATGCTTCAGCTTCCTACTATGTTAGATCAACAGCTCTTTGGTGAAAAAAAATCCAATATTTTTTTTCTCTTTGAATTCTAGGACTTAAGCTATCTAGTGTGCTGTCCTATCACTTTCTTCACAAAAGAACGATTTTGCTTTTTAAATAAGAATCCTGCTGCATTGCTTGAAATAGACTTCTCATATAAATAAAGATATTCTCTAAGTGATGGCAGGGATACACGTTGGACAATCTAAATATGCAAGTTGTACAGTCCTATTAATAAAACTCTTGCACTATCATATATAGTGAGAAAAAGAATATAAGCAGTATAGAAGATCTTAAATGCACAAAATTTGAAAAAGCAAAAGAGAATAACAGTCTTTGACAATAGCAGCTACAAAAATCTGAGCAAAGAAAGGAGATTAATAATTGAACAAATAAATGCATGGCCTAACATGAGAGATTTGGGCCTCATCTTCTTTCTTTTAGGGAAGAACTGAGAACAAAAATTCTCCTTGTACAGTTCCATGAGGTACACATTATCTCAACATTAGCTTCAACAGGATCCTGTATAAAGTGGCTTTTCCATCATAAAGCAGATCCAGGCTGCATGAGGCAAAAGACTACCTATTCCAGAAAAACCTAAATGAAAAGAATGCCACCCAAAAGAAAAGAAATGTTCTATCTTAAACAAACACCATAAATGCAGCAATGGGCTAGATTGCTGAGATATCAGCACAAAAATATTGTTCAGCAAATTATTCTTGGCACAAACAACAATGTTGGTAAATGCCCTGGGAGAAGGAAACACCCTGATGGTGACACCCACTGTTAAAAGTATAAATAGAGAGAGCTGGGGATGAAAATTTGCAGTCCTGAATCTTATCAGGCTGTGCACCTAAATTTGGGATTGTGGTTAGACTCTTACCTGCTGTCACTATGAGCTGTGGCACTAAGTCTTCGACTAGTACCACTAGAATTAGCAGTGGAGGTGGTGGTGGTGGTGGTGGTGGTGGTGGTGGTGGTGGTGGAGGGGGTAGCAGCTGTGGAGTTCGTAAGTCTGGTGGATACTCCTCAGTGTCCACTAGAAAATACACTTCTGGAGGAAGTGGAGGCTTTTCTGGGAGAAGCTTTGGTGGAGGAGTTTCCAGGAACAGCTATGGAGGGGGCTTTAGCAGTGGCAGTTGTGGAAGGATTAGCCGCAGTAGCTATGGTGGGAGAATGAGTGGTGGTAGTTACGGAGGAGGAATGGGCTGTGGAAGTATGGGAGGAGGATTTGGATCAGGTGGCGGTGGTTTTGGGGGAATGGGAGGTGGTTATGGAGCTGGCCTCGGTGGAGGTAGTTTTGGTGGTGGTGGATATAGTGGAGGTGGATTTAGTGGCTTTGGGGGCAGTGGTGGCTTTAGTGGTGGCAGCTTTGGTGGTGGTGGCTATGGTGGAGGTAGTTTTGGTGGAGTGGGGTTTGGTGAAGACGCTGGCTTACTCTCCACAAATGAAAAGTTGACCATGCAGAACCTCAATGATCGCCTGGCTTCTTACTTGGATAAAGTGCGACGCTTAGAGGATGAAAATACTCAACTTGAACACCTGATCAGGGAGTGGTATAAAAATCAAGGTCCCACTTCTACCAGGGACTACAGCCAATATTACAGAACAATTGAAGAACTGCAAAACCAGGTACGATGTAATTTGACTAACTTTGAACAGATTCTCATTAGAACGGCACTTGCCTCCTGCAGCACAATATCCCTATTTGAGGCAATATATTCCCTCCTTTGTTTTAGTCAGGAAGCAGACTGGTGGGGTGACAAAGCCTGACTACCAGTTTTTCTCTGCTGTGGGTGATATGCATATTCAGGCACACTTGTATTTGGCACAGGTAGCATTGTTTGGTGCAGTGGCAGACCATTACTAGTGCACCCATTATGGGGCCTGTCCAGTGCTCCCTTCAACACTGTGCTCTTGCTTGTTTGTTCCTCACTCTCTTGAACAGGAGATATAATCATTGCTTGCTTATGTTGTGCTGCTAGTGGCCATATTAATTGCATCTTCTTGTGAATATGCAGGATGAGCCAACGTGCATTTAGTCTAATTCTAGCCCTCAGCCATTTAATAGTCCCATATCTCCTACATGAATACGGTTGTTGCCAAATGCAATGGTAATTTTGTTTTCCCACTGTTTTTGAATATGAAGAGATTATTTAGTTATTATTTCCAACAAGGTATTTTTAATAGATATTTATAAACCAAAATTGACAGCAAAAGCAATTTCTTTTAACTGGAAGCAATACACTCTTCTCTCTTCTCTCTCTATATAGCTCCTGCAGCACTAGTCAGGCTTGACATTACCATAAAGATATTCTGTAATGTGTTTCTGCACAGGTATGTCTTCCCTCTATCTATGTGTCAGACTGAAAAGACAACTGACTAACATCTGCCCTCTCCCTTTCAGATTGTTGGTGCAAATGTGGACCTTAACAAGATCCTTCTTGACATTGACAACACTAGAATGACTGTGGATGACTTCAGACTGAAGTGAGTTGTTCCCTTCCTGTTTCATTCCACCTTGCCTCCCTTTACACCCCATCAGTTCATATTGCCAATTAATCTTTGTAGATGGAATAGCCTCTTGGCTCCAATGACAGAATATATAATTGTTAGCAAAAGCATTCTGAGAATGTTTTTTTTTAGTTTTTCATTATTATTTTTCTCCAGACAAGTTATTGAAGATTGCCATTTAAAGGACTACATTCTAAGTTTCTCCATCCTTGTATGTAGATTTATAAGCATAATCCTCATCATACAAATCTCACAGAAAGAAATTCTACTGAAACCAAACCAACCTATTGGAGATGGAAAAAGAATTAGGTCCTTTCTTTTAAGAACTGAGCAATGGGATTAAAGATCAAAGGTGTACTGATGGGAACTGTTCATAATCAAGATAACAAACAAAGAGGTCTGGCAGCACTTTTACTATCTTTCTTGTCTGTTGTTTAGGTATGAAACTGAATATACTCTCCATCAGAGTGTGGCAAGTGATATTAACGGATTACGTCCACTTTTGGATCAACTGACTCTAGCCAGATCTGACTTGGAGACACAGTTTGAATCTCTAAAAGAGGAATTGATCTATCTTAAGAAGAACCACGAAGAGGTAAGTTTCTCCACACTTTAAAATAATAACTAACAAAACCTCAACACTCAGAGAATTTCTTGTGGATTTCTTACACTAGCAGTAACCAGATTTTGGCTGCTGGCTTTGATCATCCAACTTGACACAATCTGGCTTAGATTTTCAGGAGTATGTAGCATCCACAGCTGCCCGCGACTGATGTAATAAGACACCTAGGTCAACATGTGGCAAAATGAGACCAGGGAAATGAATGGCTTTCAGTACAAAGTACAGTTTTGTTCCCGAACTCATGGAAGGAAAATTGGATAGAATATATAGAGAAATCAAAAGAAAATATTTATACTACCTGCAATGATATTTCCCATTGAGAAGAAAAATACATAAAAGGATTTTCACAAAGAGCATACTGCATAAAATTTCTTATGACCCTGAGGGGAAAGTGTCAGTGTCAATGCATACGTGGTGCCTGGCTATTGTCCACTGTAAAGTTTGCCTTAGGAATAGCAGAATTGTTCCCTTTCACAACAAGGGTAGATGAGGCCCCCTTTGCAGGAGCGATACGGCTGTGTGAGGATTTGTGTCCCTTTCTTTTCCTTTATTTGAAACTATGACATTTCTCCTTACCTTCACCCTTTGAGAACCTGGTGGTTTGTGGGTTTTTTTTTCAGGAAATGAAAGGACTGCAAACACAATCTGGTGGAGATGTCAATGTGGAGGTCAATGCTACCCCTGGCATTAATTTGATGGAAAAATTAAATGAAATGCGTTGCGAATACGAACGGCTTATTGAGAACAACCGGAGAGAGGTGGAAAGCTGGTATGAAACCAAGGTAAAGCACAGGGGTTTTTTGGCTACTAAATTTTTCAGAAAGAACTGGACCTACTTACATCCAGCAGAAGAAAGGCAACTTGTCATGTATTATTTAAGGGACATTAACTTTAAATGACTTTAAGCAGTTTACTGTAACAGGTCAGTTCTGGAGTACTAAGATTATGTGGTAAAGCATGTAGAATCTCTGTGTTCCAGCAGCAAGGTGAATTACACGGAGTGAGTTAGCAGAGTGGCATGTGGGAAATACACATGGTCAGTCTACATTACATCTTTCTTCAAGCATATTAATTGCTTTCTTATTGCTGTTATGATAACCCCACAACATTTTCTTATTATCAAAAATGCCTCAATTTTGTATGTGAATTTTTCAGATGGAAGAAGTTAATCAACAAGTCCACTCAAGTGGTCAGGAGATACAATCAAGTAACCAACAGATCTCTGAGCTGAGACGTGAATATCAAAGCCTGGAAATTGAGCTGCAGTCACAAATCAGCATGGTAAGTAAAGGTATTTACTTCTGCTTCACCTGTGACACAGGCTGTATGTGCAACTAGAATGAAAGAATGGTTACACATAGAAAGTACTCCATCTGTAGAGAATGGGACACTGGATTACTTCTCTTCAAAGATATGCTTTTTTCTGGTTTGTGAAGATCTCAAATTTTTCCATAAAAATTAGTTAAACTTGCCATATTCCCAAAACCACTGTATTTTGTTTTCCATTTGCAGGTAGACTCTCTGCAATCCAACTTGGAAGACACAGAACGTCGCTATAACATGCAGCTGCAGCAGATCCAGGGTATGATCGGCCCCTTGGAGGAGGAGCTGGCCAGCATCCGCTGTGAGATGGAGAGTCAGAATGAAGAGTACAAGATGCTCCTGGGCATCAAGACTCGCCTGGAACAGGAGATTGCTCAGTACCGGGCACTGCTTGAGGAAGGGCAGCAAGACCTTGTGTATGTAAACTGACAAAAGAACAGAGCATTGTGTGAGACACAGGGTTGCTAGATTAGTCACAAAGACAGGAAATTAACAGTCTACATTTGAAAAACAGATTTTGTACTGAAATGAGGCTAATTCAGCTATCTTGACCAATTGCCTCTCAGGTTTGGTGTGCTATACATTTCTTGGCAAACCCGTTCAGAATATAAATCACATGAAGAAAAATGAATGCAGAAATTCTGAACTACCGACTTGGGGCTTCACAGGGAAACGCACATACAGACCCTTACCTTTATCCTGGTTCCAGAAAATGCCAAGAACTGAACAGACATAAGTCACCTAGGAAAAGACTGTAAGCAGAAAAATGACCATAGTTTTCCAAACCTTCATAGAAGCTTCAGTGTGCAATTCTCTGAAAATTCAAGCTACTTTGGTTTCCCTTATGCAGCGAGCCTGCTTCTGCTTGTAAGTGGCACCTGAAAGAACAGCTAAAGTTTCATTTTCTGCCTTTCCAATTTGGAGTGCAGTGACACCATACACTGATAAAGCAGCAATGCTAAACCTTGCAAGAAATATCTGAGCAGAGCATGGGAAAAGCAAAAACTCTTCCATTCAGGCTGAAATTGAAGGAGAGGTTGATATTTGGCACTGCATCAGTTGTCTTGCTGTTCTGTGCTAGGTTCTATAAAGGGGAAGTACAGACAAGAGAAGTGCAGGCTTCCATGCAGTATCTGTAGATAGATTTCCTTCTGAGTTCAAAAATGCATTTGATTAATTTTTTTTCTCCTTTCTCTCTCTTTGCAGAATCCCAGCAGGAGGAATGGGAGGAGGAATGGGAGGAGGCATGGGAAGTGGTAGAATAGGAGGTGGTGGCTATTCTTCTGGAGGAGGAAGAGGAGGAGGAGGTGCTAGCATGAGTGGTGGATATGGAGGTGGTAGCATTTCCTCCAGCAGCGGAATGGGAGGAGGAAGTGGCGGAGGAGGAATGGGAGGAGGAGGAATGGGAGGAGGAATGGGAGGAGGAATGGGAGGAGGAAGTGGTGGAGGAGGAATGGGAGGAGGAAGTGGTGGTGGATGCAGTAGTATTGTTGGAGGAGGAGGAGGAGGAGGAGGAGGAGGGGGAAGGATCTCAGGAGGCGTCAGCAGTTCCCACTCCTACTCTTCATCTTCCCAGTCTCAGTCCTGCAGGAGCGGTGGTGAAAGCCAAGGTGAGAACTGTTGTATGGGGACACTGTTCTCTCAGTCCCATCCTTGCTAATTTATACACTGTATCAACATACTCTTTTGGAGGTAAACAGTACCCAGGATAAACTAAAATTTCTGGAAAGTGTTAGATTTACTTTTATTAAAAATTCTTTCCTATTTGTGTGCAAAGGATCAACTCTGCTTAAGAAACACACATTCAACATCTATTCAATTTTGTGGGTGACATCAGCTAATCATGTAGTTAAAACCCAAACTGGTTTTCTTCATCTCTCATTCTTTGCAGAATCTTATAAATACTGCTGCTTTTGTACCATGCTGAAGTTTTCCTTTATGCTTTTGGAGTGCTTATGGTCACCTATCTCATAATGAAGCTTCTTTTCCATCTGGTAGATACTGGTGCCTCAGAGATTCACTGCCAGTACTGGAGGAATTAATACTTTATTTCTAAACAGGGTATGGAAGAAAATCTTTTGACTAAGAATATGCATTGAGGATCCTACAGTGCAAGAACTTTCAAACAGAAATTGGCCCAAATCCTCTACATTCCGCATGCTCCTGAGGAAAGACAGATGCTCTTAACAGTTCCTCAATGTTGCTGATGCCATCTATCCAAAAAGGCCCATCAGAGCTACTCAGATGGGCCACCTGCCCACCTGACATGCATGCTATGTGCTTCTTCTGCCTGGAATACTTTGTGGCTTCAATCATTGGCACTTGAGCTACTTGCTTTATAGATTCAACCTGTTCGTTGCTTGGATTGTTCTGTATCAGGAAAATGTCGCTAATAAAACTTCATTTCTGTCTGATGCAACCAGAATCTTGTGTGTAAGTTTTCTTCCATTCTGTAGGTGTAAACACTTAAAAAGAAAATACAAAGCCATGCCAACACATGCCTCCAGGTAGAAAAGTTGATGATACATTACAGTAGTTGACAATGAAATTTAGAGTTAAAGCACAATTTCTGAGCATTCAGGGCAGATCATAATATTTTTGAAGCATCCTGGGCTGTGCCTTTTTTTTTTAATAATGTGCCAGATACTCTTGTGGAGCTCAGCTCTAAGACTCAATAGCAATTGAGTATCAGCCCAGAACAGACTGCAGCATCTCAGCACTATATGAATGCTCATAAAGATGGCAACAAATGAGTGCCCATCCAGGCCTGACACAAAGAAACATGAATGATTACAGAATCATGATTGCAAAATGAAAGAATGTTTCAATTTGTGATTCACAAAAACTTAACTGACACTCATGGGTTTAAACTGGAAATGCACAAACTAGGGATCTGTTTTTGAACAGAAGAGAAGTTAAAAGGAGATAAAATTTACAGGATCTTTACAAAGTTCTCCTCCATAAAATGTTAATACTAACAGCAATATTTGCCTTCTACTTGTGACAAATGAAGTACATGTGAAAGTACCTGGAATGTTTACTTTTGGATATAGGAAGATCTGTACTGTGAAGAAAATTAACATAAACTGAGCCACATCCAGCTAGTACTTAAAACCATTCCTGACTACAATTTGCAAAAAATTTGATTGCTTGGCTGCTGCAACAGCTTGGAGCAAGTCAGCAAACAAATAATCAGAAAGCACTCTCTTGTTATTAGCTATCTTTTGGGAGTTGCATTTGCTTCTGTTCAGCTTTTTATATGCTTTTTTACAGTCATTATTTCAAAGAAATTATAGTATGGCTTTCTTCTGTGATTGGGACAACTTTGTTCATGCAAACAAACAGTAGCTTGTTTCATTGCAGCCCACCCCCATGGATAAAACCCATTTCCAGAGACTCTTAGTTGAAAAAAATAACTTTGCCTTCTGAAGACTAACAAATTCAGAGATCAAAGGAAATGAAATGTATTGTCCTAGGCCTTTCAGAGCAGTCTCTTGTGCATGTTTGAGGAATCTCAGGAATTTATGCATGATATTTTGGAGGAGAGAGGGCTGCCAAAGTAGGCAGATCACAAACCACAGCTTTATTAATTTTAATGAAAAGTTAGCATCTGAATTCCTCAGACTCATTTGGAAGTCTTAGTCCATTGTACAGCTACCACCTAGACCACACAGAACAGAAGTCAGCTATAGGCTGTGTAGCTCGCAAGTAAATCCACCAGTGGAAAACGTGGAAAGGAACATAAAATCCTAGTCCATGCCCAGCATGCCAGTCTTCCTGTAGTTCTCCCCTGAGGCAGGTTCAGCTCGTACAGCTGTTTGCAGGAGGCTCTGTCCTAACCCCCGCCAAGACAGGATGTCTACGGTGAAGCTAAGTTTTTAAAAAATGCATACAGTGGCCTGAGCTGCAAAGGCTAGCAGAGTATCCCGGGCAAACGAGGGGCCAAAATTACCCTGAGGCTGCACAAGTGAAGGGTATATTTCACTTGTACATGGATTTGCAGGCTTAACTGCTGAGGCAGGGCTGTATGCTCAGGGAGTGGCCTCTAGTGGTGAATAAAGACTCAAAGAAAATGTGGGTTTTGTGGGAGAGGAGCTAACACCATTGACGAAAAGTAAAACAGGTTGACGCACAAGGGTGTGGATCGAAAGAATAGATGCAAAATTAGTTTCCAGAAACACAGGTCACATGGCCATGCAAACTTTCTCAACACTTGGAAACAGACTTTGTGCTACACAAATACTTCCAGTGACACACAACAGGAAGAAAGAGATTCTAGTAATGCTGATTTCTATTTCTTTGTTTTAGATACTTAGACTACACACATCATCTAGAAAGAGATATAATGTTCATAGTAAATGGTATGCGGATTATTTCAAAGAATCGACTGTGCTTATGCCAAAGCCCTCTAGAGGGTACTATATTGTTACCTCTTGCATCTTGTATGTTACAACTACCTCCACAGATGTCAATCTACACTTTAAATTAAGCTTTAAAGAGTATTTATTTTCCTGTCTCGTAATTACCTTGCTGCCTGACAGGCACTAAATGCTATGCATCATATGATGAAGTTCAGAAGGGGTTAAAATAGGCAGAATGGAGACAGCACCTAGTAAAAGGCTCAGTTAGAGGGAAAGAAGGATTTTCAGGAGAAAGTCACTGGTGTGGCTAAGGAAATTAAAAGAGCGTATCTCACTGTATCTTGAACAGAGACTGAGGAAAGCCCTATGGATCTAGACAGTGAGAATGTTTGGATGAATGGAATACAGCTGGGGTCTTCCATGGAGAACTATGAAATTTGGGGATATGTCCCCCTAAAGGTTATGGCCACAAAGATGATTCTCCATTCAATACACAGAAGATCAAAATGAAGAACATCATTAATTCCACCTTATCTGTCTAGGGCACATAGATACCCTGGGCTGTATTTTGAGTGCTGTAACTTTGGTGACCCTGTC